CTTAGGTGTATGTGGCTGGCGCCTTAGCCACTTGAGCCACAGGCGCCGAGCCAACGCCCACCTATTTTTAAAGACAGAGTCCAGCTCTTACTCATGCTGAGATTCAGGTGATCCTAAATTCAGATGATCCACCCACTTAGGCCTTCCAGAGTGCTAGGATCATAGGTTTAAGTCACCATACCCAGCTTTTATTAGTTTTATCACAGTCAAAAACACAACATAAAATTTACCATCTTAATCATGTTTTTGTTTTTGTTTTTGTTTATTCAGAGTCTCACTATATCGTCCTCCATAGAGTGCAGTGGCGTCATAGCTCACAGCAACCCCAAACTTTTGGGCTTAAGCGATTCTATTGCCTTAACCTCCCAAATAGCTGGGACTACAGATGCCACCACACTCCCAGCTATTTGTTGTTATTGTTGTGGTGGTGGTGGTGGTTTAGCAGGCCCAGGCTAGGTTCAAACCTACCAGCCCCAGTGCATGTTGGCCAGGACCCTAACCACTGAGCACAGGTGCGAGCCCATCTTAACCATTTTTTTTTTTTTTGAGATAGAGTCTCACTATGTTGCCCTAAGTAGAGTGCTATGGCATCACAGCTCACAGCAACCTCAAACTCTTAGACTTAAGCTATTCTCTTGCCTTAGCCTCCCAAGTTGCTTGGACTACAGGTGCCTGCCACAATGCCTGGCTATTTTTTGTTGCAGTTGTCATTGTTTAGCTGGCCCCGGCTGGGTTTGAACCTGCCAGCCTCAGTGTAGGTAGCTGACACTGTAACCACCGCGCTACAGGTGCTAAGCCCGTCTTAACCAGTGTTCAGTCTGCAGCACAGTGCTGGTAACTACTACACAGTATTGAGCAACAGATCTCTTGAGCCTTACCTTTTCATCTCACAAACTAACGTTTTGTCCTTTGAACAAATTGCCCTTGACTTTAAACTTTTAAAGAAGGGTTTACGCAGGTGTTTATTGCCCTGGGGAAATAGCACCAGTCTTGGACAAGAACCCAGAAGCCCCTGGTCAAAGTAAGCTCTTCCTGACTCCTCTGCCACATTTGAGGCATATGAATATGGGGGTAGAGAAGAAGGGAGGAAATTTCCCTGGGAAGGAAGTGTCCCTCAGACCTCTCTGAACCAGGGCTCGCTGCTGTTTCCACTGCTTATCTCTGGTGGCTTTGCAGGAATCCACAGGATTCCCAGTAAAGTGACTGTAGTGGGTAGAAGCCGTCATCTCGCCATCGCATCATGAGGTTTTACGCAGTTATTATATAAGACCGTAGTGTGAGTTCATCTTCAAAAAGTCTCACTGAGAAATAGTCGTTACTTTCATCCCAGACGGCTGGAGAAAACCTTGACTAGTAGAACGTGGAGGGCTAGGATTCATTTTGGTCCACTGACCAAAGGTCTGACAGACACAGCAGGGACTTTGCCACTGCCGTGTTGTGCTTGCAGACACCGCTGTCAGAATTAAATTTGGGTAGATCTTTGCCAAAGGTCTCTCGCCCATCTCTTGAGTTGCCAAAACACCATTCTCTCCCACTGACTCCCCTATGGTTGCCAGTTGGTTTTCTGGCTTCAATTGTAACAGTATTCTCTGTGTTTTGGTCAGAATGTGAACAAGACCGACGTGTTCCAGGAGTGGCCTGATTCCTATGCCAAGCACGTGTATAGCTCAGAGGACAAGAACGCGCAGCGCCACCTGAGCAGCTGGGCCATGCGCAACACCAACAATCACAACTCCCGCATCCTCAAGAAATCCTGCTTGGGCGTGGTGGTGTGCGGCCTCGACTGCTCCATGCAGGAGGGACGCAAGATCTACCTGAGGCCTGCCATCTGTGACAAAGCCCGGCAGAAGCAGCAGCGTGAGTGGGGGGGCTTGGTGACACTGGCAACGAAGCTGGCATCCATTAGAGGCCCCTGCCCAGGTGGGCCATGACATCCCAGCACATCCTAATGGTTCAACCCTCACCTCCAAGTGTAGGGGAGACCAAGGCTGTTCTGATACTAGAAACCAGCCAGCCAGATGCTCTGTGTCCCAGGATCTGCCCCACAGGCCTGCCTTGCTGGGACCACTACTATCAAGGCTGATCCTGGCAGTGCATGGTGGCTCATGTCTGTAATCCTAGCATTTTGGGTGGCCAAGACAGATGGAATGCTTGAGCTCAGGAGTTAGAGATCAGCCCGAGCAAGAGGGAGAGCCTATCTCTACTAAAAATAGAAAAACTGAGGCAAGAGGATCTCTTGAGTCCAAGAATTTGAGGTTGCCATGAGCTATGATGATGCCATGGCACTCTACCCAGGGTAACAGAGTGAGACTTTGTCTCCAAAAAAAAAAAAAAATTGACTCAGCACCTGTGGCTCAAGCAGCTAAGGCGCCAGCCACATACAGCTGAGCTGGTGCGTTCAAATCCAGCCCGGGCCTGCCAAACAACAATGACGGCTGCAACCAAAATATAGCCGGGCGTTGTGGCGGGTACCTGTAGTCCCAGCTACTTGGGAGGCTGAGGCAAGAGAATCTCTTGAGCCCAGGAGTTGGAGGTTGCTATGAGCTGTGATGCCATGGCACTCTACCCTGGGTGACAGCTTGAGGCTCTATCTCAAATAAATAAATAAATAAATAAATAAAGTATATAAAGATCCAATAAAATAAGACCCAATAAATTTAAAAAAATAAATAAAAAAGGCTTCTTCCTTGGGCTAAGGCACTTGATTCAAGGCCGCTATTGAAAGGAAGATATTAAGGAATAACATTAATTCATCAGTCACTCATATTTAGGGGAAATTATTTTATCAGACGTGTCACCTGGCCTCTTGGGAAATGGGTTGGTGAGTGGTGTCCATGCAGGCGGTCATCTGGAATGGCTGCAGTGAGACTAACGGGGAGGTGAGACTCGGTTCTGTCCATAAAGGTTTACGTCACAATCGTGCCGAGACATTTGTTCATTTTTTGGGTCACATTCACTAGATTGTAAAATAGATTCACTCATGTTCCCTGTGTCTTGTCCATTTCAGACCTCAAGTTATTTCATGTTCTTAGTAATTTGTCTTCAAAACCTGCTCTCAGGGGCCCAGACCTGGTGGCTCACAACTGTAATCCTAGCACTCTGGGAAGCAAAGGCAGGTGGATTGCCAGAGCTTGAAACCAGCCTGAGCAAAAGCAAGACCTGGTCTCTACTTAAAATAGAAAAAAATCAAAAAAACAAACAAACAAAAGTGAAGCAAGAGGATCGCTCGAGCCCAAGAGTTGGAGGTTGCTGTGAGCTATGATACCACAGCACTTTACCCAGGGTGACAGCTTGAGACTCTGTCCCAAAAAACAAAACAAAGAAAACCTGCTCTCAGGGCAGGACTTGATACCAGTCATTTACACCTTAGTGAAAATTTCAAAGTTGTATTCTGTCTTCCATGTGGCTTTGCCCCTTGACCCTTAGTTCTAATTGTGAAATGAAAGATTTTTTTTTTCTACTCTCTATACAGAATTTCAAATATCAGTAAATAAATACGGAGAGGCTTCTGCTCAGAAGATCTCTTCCCTGACCTGTGAAATGTCCCATTTCGTGGCCTACTACTTACTCTTTCCATGTGTGAGACTGATCTGGGCATTATGGTGGTCAGGCCTCCCAGGGTCAGAGATAACCCCAAGGAATGGAAGCCTCTAAAATTGCCCGGGCTTATTTTCTGCCATTCCAGAGTTAGGGCTGAATTGTCAGGTTTGGCTTGGTGCCTGTAGCTCAAGCGGCTAAGGCACCAGCCACATACACCAGAGCTGGTGGGTTCGAACCCAACCTGGGCCTGCCAAACAACAGAGACAAATACAACTAAAAAAATAGCCAGGCCTTGTGGCGGGTGCCTATAGTCCCATCTACTTGAGAGGCTGAGGCAAGAGAATCACTTAAGCCCAGGAGTTGGAGGTTGCTATGAGCTGTGATGCCATGGCACTCTACCCAGGGTGACAGCTTGAGGCTCTGTCTTAAAAAAAAAAAAAGAAAGAAAGAAAGAAATTGTCAAGGTTGTACTGGTCAAGAGTGAACTGACATGGCTCAGTCACAGAGGGTCATTTTCCTTTGTTCTCTTGCAGGGAAACGCTGTCCCAACTGTGACGGACCTCTGAAGCTAATTCCTTGCCGAGGCCATGGGGGTTTCCCAGTCACCAACTTTTGGAGACATGATGGACACTTTATATTTTTCCAGGTTGGATTTGAGTTATTCGATTCTATTTCTCTCTTTTCTTCTTTCTCTCTTTCTCTCTCTCTCTCCCTTTGTCCTCTTTTTTTCTTCCTTCTTTCTCTCTTTTTCTTTCATTCTCTCTTTTGTTTTCTCTTTCTGTCTTTTCGTTTCTCTTTTTTTCCTTTTCTTTCATTTATTTTTTGAGACAAGAGTCTTACTCTATCACTCTGTGTACAGTGCTGTGGCATCATCATAGCTCACGGCAACCTCAAGCTTCTAGGCTCAAGGGATTTTCCTGCCTCAGCCTCCCAAGTAGCTGGGACTACAGGTGCATTCGATTGTACCTGGCTAACTTTTCTGTTTTTAGTAGAAACGGGGTCTCACTCTTGCTTGGCCTGGTCTCGAATTCTTGAGCTCAAACAGTCCTCCAGCCTCAGCCTCCCAGAGTGCTGGGATTGTAGGCATGAGCCGCTGAGTCCTGCCCTGTTTCTCCTTAAGATGACAAATGTTTACAGAGTTTCCTTACAGAGGAGTTTCATCAGAGGCTAGAGGTACATGGGTGAATTAGATCAGGCACGAACCCTGCAAGTCCACACTCTGGAAGAGAAAATGCCTGTACCCTCCATATCATGGAGGTTTGAATATATAGAGGGGATGGCTCATGCTGTCTCCCATGCCTCCTGCTTCTCAGGGGAAGTAACAGTTAATCCGATTACACGGCACTGAGTGAGGAGTTTGAATACCAGCTCTAAAAACCTGGACCAGTTACTTCTTCTCCTAAGCCCCAGTTCTATAAAATGTGTGAGACTCACTAATGAGGCCGTGGTATAAACAGTGTTGAAGGAGGGAGGCTGGCTCAGACTGCCTGGGTTTGAATCAGTGGAGGGCTGGTAAACCAGCTCTCCAAAAACAGACCTCCCAATTTATAGCAATTGCCAATTTCTGTGGTCGATTCCATTCCCACCGTGGCTGATTCCAAGCTAACTGCCCTTTTGACACACAGCTCACAAAATTCCTGAATGTTTAACAATTGGTTTTCAGCATGGTTGGCACCAGGTAGGGGAATCTAGGCCCTTCCCTCTTAGGAGAGGTAATTCAGGGGTCGTTGTTTCTCCATGCCTCAGCTTCCTGTTCTGTAAACTGGAGGTGACACTAATGGTATGTTTCCAGGGCTATGCTGAAGATGAAATGAGATTGGGCACACAGGGTGCTTATCCGTTCCTGCCCAGACCACGGGAAGCATTGAGCAAGTGTTACTCACCACTGTGAGCACGGCTTTGCTGGGTGGGTGAGAGGCGCCACAGGGCTGGGAGCTTCTTCCGAGGCTTCACCCAGTCTCACTGTAATAGGCCCCTACTGTACCCCAGTCCTATGGCTGGACTCTGCGTGAAAACTGACACACCAGAAGTGCAATCTAGTTATTTATTATATCGCTTCCCTTTTATTCCTGTGTCCCCTTTAAGTCAAAGGGAGAACACGATCACCCCAAACCAGAAACCAAGCTGGAATCCGAGGCAAGAAGAGCCATGAAGAAAGCACACGCAGCATCTTCCTCTGTCACCCCAAACCTGAAAGAGAGCCCGAAGAAAAAGGTACTTTTCATCTCTTATGTTCAAAACATACAGCAGCTTGCCACCCGTATGGTGACAAATGAAAGCCACAGATCACAGGCCATATCCACCAACAAAATTGCCTCTGAAGTTTGTTTGTTTGTTGAGACCAAGTCTCACCTCTGTTGCCCTGGTTAGAGTGCTGTGGTGTCATAGCTCACAGCAACCTCAGACTCTTGGGGTCAAGAAATCCTCCTGCTTCAGCTTCCTGAGTATCTGGGATTATAGACACCTGCCACCATGCCCAGCTAGTTTTTCCTTTTTTTTTTTTTTTAATTTTTCTAGTTTTAGTAGAGATGGGGTCTCTCTCTTTCTCAGGCTGTTCTCAAACTCCTGAGCTCAAGCAGTCCTCCCACCCAGCCTTCCAGAGTGCTAGGATTACAGGTGTGAGCAACTGGGCACAGCCCATCTAAGGTTTTACTCTTACTCTCTACCATCCTATGTCATGCTCTCAACAATTAATTCCATGTACTTATAGAATCATCCTCCCTGTAACAATTAAAAAGAGAAACTTGAATTAGTACTTAAGCTGTATTTGGCGTTCTATGTTTCGGGTCTAAGAGAACCAAAATGAACTGAAATGATTTCCACAAAATATTAGCCTCATGCTTTTTTGCCCTTAAAATTTTCTACATACCCCCCAAACAGATGTGAATTCCATTACTTTGTGGGTAGCATATCAAAGGTTTGTGGGTTTGTAGGGTTAACAGTGGTAGTAATTCCTATACTTTTCTACTGTCCGAAGATCTACATTTCATTTTAGGAGAACAGAGATGGCGCTGGTCCATCCCCGGAAGCTCTAAATGTAGAACAGGGAGGGAAGCTGGTCCATCCCATGGCACCTGTGGCTCAAAGGAGGAGGGCACTGGCCTCATATGCTGGAGGTGGTGGGTTCAAACCCAGCCCCCGGCCAAAAAAAAATGTGTAGGCCAGGCACAGTGGCTTATACCTGCAATCCTAGCTATTTGGAAGGCTGAGGCAGGAGGATCTCTTGAGCCAGGAATTCCAGTCTTCAGAGAACTATGTTGATACCACCGCACTCCAGCCTGGGTAACAGAGCAAGACCTCATCTCAAAAAAACAAAATAAAATAAAAATTGTAATTGGAGTCTGTTGTAGGGAAAGGAGAGCCCCAAACCCACATGGGTGTTTCCTTACCCTTTTTCCCAGCCATGAGACAAATCAAGGGGGATTTCCTCTCATCCACTCTACCTTGTTACCGCCCTTTCTCTCCACCCTTTAAAATTGTCCTTTTATTAGCTGATAGTTTTATGTAAATAAGAACATAATTTAATTCTCAACCAGATTCTTTCCTTATGATTAGAGAACAATACATCCCTCATTTGTAACAATAAACTTATCATCACATGCTCTAGAGATCCCATCCATGGTTCAATAAAATTCTTCTTTTTTTTTTTTTTTGAGACAGTCTCACTTTATCGCCTCTGGTAGAGTGCCATAACATCACAGCTTACAGCAACCTCAAACTCTTGGGCTCAAAGGATTCCCTTGGTTCAGCCTCCCAAGTAGCTGGGACTACAGGTACCCACCATAACACCTGGCTATTTTTTAGAGACAGGGGTCTCTAGCTCAAGTTGGTCTCGAATTTGTGAGCTCAAGCAATCCACCCACCTTGGCCTCCCACAACAAAATTCTTGTGAGTCCAAAGAAAAGTCTTTTGAGGAGAAAACAGACAAACAAATAATAATCCTGGAGTCACTTCAGACTCCAACCAGCACTAAAACCAGAAAGTCAAAAAAGGAACTAATGAGGGTGGCACCTGTGGCTCAGTGGGTAGGGTGCCAGCTCCATATACCACGGGTGGTGGGTTCAAACCCAGCCCTGGCCAAACTGCAACAAAAAAATTTTCAGGCATTGTGGCGGGCACCTGTAGGTCCAGCTATTCATGGGGCTAAGGCAAGAGAATCACCTAGGTCCAGGAGTTGGAGGTTGCTGTGAGCTGTGATGCCACAGCACTCTACCAAAGGCGATAAAGTGAGACTCTGTGTTAAAAAAAAAAAAGGAACTAATGAGAGATCCCTGAGAGTTGTACTGAGGATAATATAAATCTCTGAAGCAGTAGTTTGATTTTTCTAAACTAGCTACTTACTTGTAAGTTTCTTGAAAAAGTAGTCAAGCCTAGTGAGATGTGTTTTGAGTGTGAAACATCTTAAACACATTCATATCTCCATAGAATGAGGGAAAATCTCTTATTGGTCAGTAAGCTTTAAAATGGAAACAGAGGCTGCTTTTGCTTCTTGTGTTATCTGCAGTAAAGCTGCTCTGTGTGTTTGCACTTCAAGCATGTAAGGAATGAGGAAAATCTGTGGGGACTTGTACAGAATACTTGTACAGAATAACTCATGGGTGCCTAGGGTGGTGGTGTGATTTGCTTAACTTATTAACATGGATATTTCGTTTCCCTTTCTAGTCTCTTCCAGGTGAGACACAAAGCCAGAGCAGTTTACCTTTAACTTGGTCTTTCCAGGAAGGCTGCCAATTGCCTGGTAGTTATAGTGGACATTTAATAGCTAACGCTCCCCAGCAGAAGTCGCTGAATGATTGCTTATCCTTCTCCAAGAGTTATGGCTCGGGGGGAACCACCGACATGGCTGACCACACTTCCAGGCTGGACCCCACTAAGCTCTATGAGAAATGCAAATTGCCTGATGGTAGGGCCTACAGCGGAGACCTGCTTCAGCCCTCTGCCTCCAGAGCCTACTCGGATTACAACGATCTGCAGACATGGAGTAAAAATGAGGCTTTGGGGAAAAATTCTCTTAATGAAAACTGCTATTCCAATTATACTTTTCCTCTGACCGGCTGGCCTTGCAACTTCACTCCTTCCCAGAACTCTTCAGAACCGTTTTTCCAGCAGATTCCATTGGAACCACCTGCAGCCAAAACTGGCTGTCACCCACTATGGCCGAATCCAGGGGGTAATTTTTATGATGAGAAGGTGCACATGGATTTTAACAGCTACATCCAGTCCCCTCCATACCACGCCCCTCAGGAAGACCCCTTTCTCCTCACCTGCACCTCTCAAACCCACCAGCAGTATTCACTGCCGAGCAAGGGCGGCAAGTGGGATTTTGAAGAAGACGTGTCGTGCATGGGTCTGGATCACTGCAACAACGAGATGCTCCTCAATCTCTGTCCCTTAAGATGACTCAAATCTTTCTCAACTCCCCCACTAAGGAAAAAAAAAGCCTTTTGGGGAAATGACTGGAAGAATTTCCTCGGAAACTATTTTTGTTTCTTTTTAACAAATTTATATCATTTTATTTTTGTGTACATATTTGCTTCAAATCAGTAACTTTCTAGGCCAGGTTCAGGTAATTGAAGGACCCTCAGAAGTAGTTTATGTTGTCTAGATCCAAGCTAGACTGCAAACCCACGCTGGAGTAAAATGGGAAGGAACATCTTTATAAAGACAGGCTTAGCGATTCTAATCCAGTAAGTTGTTTCTTTTCTCTTGTAGCAGTGTTGATTCAGACCTGGCTGCTAGGCTGCCATTGACAGGTATAGCCCAGAAAACAGGGTACAGACCACCCAAAACAAGACCAGCCAGTCTACCCTGGGTTATGATACAGGGCTCACAATTCAAATCACCTGTATTCAAAGGTAACCTGCCCCCCCCCAAAAAAACTTTTCAAGCTTCATTGTGCTGTCAAAATGGTATCACTACCCTTGGGAAGCCAGTGGCAGTATGAACCTGTGTCACATTCAAGATGTGTCCAAAAAAGACTGTTTGCTATTAGGCCACAGAGAGCAGCATTAAAATATCATGTCGATCCATGTTCAAGTAAATTCCTCGCTGATTCTGGAAGCTGGGTAATTTTTCTGGTTATGATATTGCAGATTGTTGCGTTTCCCTTGGTAGTGTCATCTGTTTTATGATTTTCCATCTTGAGCTGTCTGCTTTTCTTCTCCCAGGAGCCACTGCCTCCCTCCATCTTTCTCCGCCACGCAGAGCTCACTGCAACCTTCGTTCAGCTGGTCTGGGCGCAGCCGTCTTTTTGTGGTTTTTTTGTCTGTTTGTTTGGGGGACTTTGTGTTGTGTTGTTTGCTTGTTTATTTCAGAGTCAAACACCCTGGGTGGAATGCTGTGACATCTTAGCTCAACTTAGCTGTGAGCTGACCTCAGACTCTTGGGTTCAAGTGATCCTCTTGCCTCAGCTTCCCAAGTGGTTCTCTAGCTGGGACTACAGACACCTGCTGCCTGGCTATTTTTAGAGATGGGGGTCTCACTCTTGCTCAGGGTGATCTCAAACTCCTGAGCTCAGGCATCCGCCAGCCTTGGCCTCCCAGAGTGCTAGGATTACAGGTATAAGCCATTGCACCGGGCCCTGCAGCCACCTTTTGTAAACAATTTCCAAAACATAGCAACAGGCAATGGAAATCACAATAAGCAGTAGGCAAGACTTGTTTCTGCAAGCTTTCTGTAAGCTTTTCAGCTTCTCCACCCCGTCCCGGGCTTCCCTCCTCAGCAAAGAATGGAAACTTGTCCCACCTGTGCTGTCAAAGTCTTCTGCTTCTCCCACACACTGTTTGGGGCCCTCAGCACCTCGGCACCACCATCTTGTTGCTACATGACACGCAGAGCAGAGATGTGAGCAGTCCACCATCCTGGGGCCTTACCCATGCCTTACCTTTGCTGACGGTAAAGAACAAGAGAGAGGGTCGAAGAATGGCATAGGTGGTGTAGAAAGCTGAATAATCAAAGTACTGAATCCTTCGTCTAGTCATGGGATTAGTTTACAAAATACGTATGTGGGGTTTGGGGGGTTTTTGGTTATTATTATTATTTTTTGAGACCGCTGTTGCCTAGGCTGGAGTTCAGAGGCATTGTCATAGCTCAGTGAAGCTGTGGACTCTGGAGCTCAGGCGATCCTCCTTGTCTCAGCCTCCAGAGTAGCTGGGACTACAAGCACACACCACCACACTTGCCTAAATTTTCTCATTTTTTGTAGAGATAGGGGTCTCACTATATTGCCTAGCCTAGTCTCCAACTCCTGGCTTCAGGTGATCCTCCCAGATGAATCACCTCTCTCAGCCAAAACCTGTTTTCTAGATAATTTCTAAGACTTGTCAAGATAAGGGACATGACCTAACTTCATCTCATAAAGACAGAACAGCAAAATTAAAAGGCCACGTGAAAAGAAATTCCAACGACAGCAGATGGCGTCCTTGTCTATCCTTCCTTCTCTTCTGCCTCACTGACGTCCTCTTCCATGAGGACTTGGATCTTGTACTGTTCATTCTTTATGGTGCCTAACTCAGTGACAGGTTTACAATAGGGAGAAATATTCGCTTAGAAAAATAAATCCCGGCTAGGCGCCTGTGGCTCAGGTGGCTAAGGCACCAGCCACATACACCTAAGGTGG